ACGCGTTTCCGTGTCAACGACGACCATGAGATCCTGCCCATGGCCGCACAGTACTACGGCCAGCGTGCTTGCGTACCCGGAACTCTTCTTATCACCGAGGCTACCTTGGTCTCGAAACAATCCGGTGGCTACCCCAACGTACCCGGTATCTACACACAGTCTCAGATCGACGCTTGGAAACCAGTGACCAAGGCGGTCCACGAGAAGGGCTCGTACATTTACATCCAGCTCTGGGCCCTTGGACGTGTAGCGAACAAGGACTTTGCTGCGGCCAACGATATCACTATCAAGTCTTCCAGCGCAACATCTTTAGGCGAGGGCTACGCTACTCCCAAGGAGATGACCGTTGAGGACATCAAGCAGAGCATCTCCGACTACGCACAGGCAGCCAAGAACGCCATCGAGGCTGGCTTCGACGGTGTAGAAATCCACGCTGCCAACGGCTACCTCATCGATCAGTTCCTGCAAGATACCTGCAACAAGCGCACAGACTCCTACGGCGGCTCTGTTGAGAACCGCTCCAGGTTCTGTGTCGAGGCTACCCAGGCTGTTGTGGAGGCTGTTGGCGCTGACAAGACCGGCATCCGGCTGAGTCCGTTCTCCGAATTCCAGGGTATGAAGATGAAGGATCCCCTGCCCCAGTTCACAGACATCATGAAGAGACTAGATGCGTTCAACCTTGCCTACCTCCACCTTGTCGAGGCCCGCGTATCTGGTAACGCAGATGTTGAGGGCTACGACTCTCTCGACCCTCTGCTGCCTCACTACTCTGGCAAGCTGCTCATCGCTGGTGGACTCAAGGCTGAGGACGCGAAGAAGATTGTTGAGGAGCACAAGGACCGCGATGTCGTCGCAGTGTTCGGACGCTACTTCATTAGCACACCCGATCTTGTTTTCCGGATAGAGAAGGGCATTGAGCTTACTCCTTACGACCGCGATACGTTCTACGTTCCCAAGAGCGAGAAGGGATACATTGACTACCCTTTCAGCAAGGAGTGGAAGGAGGCGCACCCCAACTTGTAGAGACTGCGCAACAAGATACCCAGTAGCATTTGCGTGTTTGGTAGAATAATTGGACAACGATTTGAAGACGTACCTGTGTAATGGCTGCTCTGCTCTACTTCGGTCTTGCGCAATTTCGGATGTAGCCGTTGGCACGTCCTCGTACTAACGCATGTCAGCCCCCATCTTTACTGCCGTTATTGCGCAACCTGCGGGTCCTCAAAACACACAACATCTATATATTTGCTGGCTCTAAGAACGGAGGTCGGGATGCGCAACGGCATATGAAGGACATGGACCCCGATGGCACGCAGAAAGGATGCAATCTTGTGTTGGAGCCCGGTAAGCACTCGCGGTAACCGTCACAACCCAGCGTAACAAGTGACGTAGATGCGAAAGTACGCAATGCCACATGTTACGTGCGCCGGAGCAAAGCTCGGTAGTAGGTTAATATATTTGGCGGGAGTTCATCCGGGGTAATGATCCAAGACCCCTGATTCCCTGCGGCTACTCCACATCAATCCCTTAGTACCTAACCTCAGTTGGAACAAAAACCTCCATCGCCCGACGAAAGCAGTAGGTACGCCGTTTCAGTCGCATGTCATTGGAGAAGGAAAAGTGTTTTGAAACAACGCACGAACTTCATCCTCTCACATGCGCATAGCCGTGCCTCCTCGCTTCGGAACTTTTAGATTGACCACCTTAACATCCGTTCATGTCGGCTAGTATTCACGGGGAAACAACCTCGAAATGTTTAGCTCTGGCGACGATCGTGCGATGAGTGTGGTGTGGGTATAAGAAGGGGAGGAGGGTGCAGGAATCTGTGTGTTGCGGACACTCACGACACTCACGATGCACTTCTCCACTTCAGTACTCGGCAGCATTGCTGCGCTCTGCGCAACTGCCAATGGCGCTCTTACTCGTGTCAACGACTTCGGAGCGAACCCATCCAACCTCCAGATGAACATCTACGTTCCTGCCAAGGTTGCGGAGAAGCCTGCGATCATCCTCGCCGTACATCTTCCCATTCCATCCACTCGCAACGATCGTCACTCTGACATTTGAACAGCTGCACTACTGCGGTGGCACCGGCGAAGCCTACGCCCAATCGACAAAGTATAACAGCCTCGCCGAGCAAAAAGGCTTCATCAACATCTTTCCCTCCACCAAGAAAGACAACAACTGCTGGGAAGTCAACACGGCCAAGGGCCTCTCCCGCGATGCCGGCGGCGACAACCAAGGCCTAAACAACATGATCCAGTACACCATCAAGAAGTACAATGCCGACCCCACCAAGGTCTTCGTCACCGGCAGCAGTTCCGGATGCATGATGACCAACGTCATGATGGCTACCTACCCAGACGTCATCGCCGCAGGCTCATGCTACTCCGGTGTCGCAGCGGGCTGTGTTGCAGGCAGCCCCGGTGCCAGTCCCAGCACCGCAGACCCGCGATGCGCAAACGGTCAGGTGATCAAGTCGCAGGCTGAATGGGTTGCTCAGGTCAAGGCTATGTACCCTGGCTACTCTGGCAGTTACCCTCGCATGGCGACTTGGCACGGAACTGCTGACTCGCTCGTCAAGATCCCTAACTTGGGCGAGCAGTTGAAGGAGTGGAGTGGTTTGCTGGGTGTTTCGTTCTCGAAGAACGAGACGAATACTCCGCAGAGTGGGTACACGAAGATGGTCTATGGTGATGGGACGAAGCTTGTGGGGTACAGTGCTCTCAATGTCGGTCACACTGTGCCGGTGCATGAGGCGGAGGACCTCAAGTGGTTTGGACTTTGAGTGGAATGATGAGACTACGACACAATTTGTTAGCCTAGTCTGAATGTATATATCTTTGAACGTCAGTGTGAATATGATTTTTCCACCTCTTAATGTTCAAGCGTCAGAAACGACATTCCCGTGCTGTTATTCGCTCGCATGCTGATGCGGATTTGCGAACGCTGGAATGGAGAAGCCCTTGACCAACGCATCCTTCCGCAGACGCGGGACGAGCTGCACATCCAAATCTTTGCCATCCTGTTGCTGTGAAGGTTTGTTCTTCGAAGTCGCGATAAAATCAAGGGTCCAATATTCCACCTTGCGATCGACATGGCCTTGAATTAGTAGTTCGAAAATGGGGGTATATTCATGACTTCGTGCCGACCTTCAACTACCTCATGACAGGCGGTCTTGCCTCTTTATTGAATGCCATCCTACTGCACAGCCATTCCACCGCCTCCTGCACACCGGTCCCTGTGAGCGCACTGCACGGCAGCACTCTACTGTCTCTTACATTCCCACCCTTTTCTCCCTCGAACACTCTTCTCACAAAGCCCTCTTTGATCCTCACGACCTCGACGCAGTCTTCGCGATCTTGCTTGTTCGCTAGTATCAAGATAGGCACGCCGCTGGCATCTTCATTCGCGAGTACGCTCTCCAAGACCAATTTGCACTCATCCAACCGCCCAATATCTTCTATGCTTGCTGCGTTGTTCGCGCTCATGTCGGCTAGCGTGGCGTTACCCACATCACTGCTGTCTATAACGAAGACGATGGCGTGACAGCTGCTGTAGTATGATTGCCAGAGCCCGCGCAAGCTATGTTGGCCGCCGACGTCCCATATCTTGAGGTAGATGGGTGGATTTGGAGGTGGAAGGGCGATGGTGGCGACGTTTTGGCCGACGGTGGGAACGGTCTTGAGGTTCGGGTGCGAGGCCGAGTAGGTGCCTTTTATTTGCTCGAGGAGCGTCGTCTTGCCGGCATTGTCGAGGCCTAGGAGGAGAACGGAGTACTCTACGGTTCGTTAGTTTTAGTGCGGTGGGTGCATCGAGACTGGGGATGCGTACCTTCCTTACTTGTCGCATGGAGATATATCGACTTGAAGAGGTGATACATGGTTTGCGCGACGCGTTATGTCGACGCGCGCTTCACATGGCCGGCGGGTGAGGGTCTACGGCGCGCGGTTGATGGGGAACGTGTCATACCGTCGCTATCGATAAGCACCATCAGATACCTATACTCCGGAACCTGGCCTTCGTCATCTCAACCACAACGTCTGCAAGGGCGAGCAAGGCAGTGTGAGTATTGAAAAGTCTTGAGACATATATACATATATATATGCTAACTATTACAGGAACCTACGGGCGAGCCAAGCAGAGAACCCAAGCTTAACCAAAAAATCCTTCTCTCGATGTCCTAGAAGTCATTATGTCTACGCCATCCGCAGCCTGGCCCATCGCCGACACCACCCTGACCGAAAAGCTTCTGGACCTGATCCAGCTAGCAACTCACTACCACCAAATCTCGAAGGGCGCCAATGAAGCAACCAAAACGTTGAACCGAGGCACCTCCGAGCTCATCATCATGGCTAGCGACGCCGAGCCCCTCGCCATCACACTTCATCTTCCACTCTTGTGTGAAGACAAGAACGTGCCCTTCGTCTATGTGCCCAGTAAAATGGCACTGGGACGGGCCTGTGGCGTGGGTCGCTCGGTTGTGGCAGTCAGCCTCACTAGCAACGAGGCGAGCGATCTGATGGGGCAGATCAGGGCTATGAAGGATGCGGTGGAGAGGATCGCGATTTGACGATGAAGAGCGGGTCTGGAAATGGCTCGGCTCTGAGTTATCGAGTCCTGGTACTGGTTCGGGATGGGGATGGACAGCAGGTCTGCGCGACGCGAGTGCATAGTAGTTCCGGAATACGCTCTTTAGACATATGAATGCCAACACTTCCTCCGGATGTCGAATCGTCTCTGAATGGCGTTGATGTTGTCTTGCAAGCTCGTTATGTCCCGCCTTTCTCCGTTCCGTAATGTGTCGATGTTGGCATTCCATCAGATAGATCGTCGGGAGAAAGAACGTGGCAGGATAGTAGCACACTATGAAAGCTATAGCACATCAAACAGGACTTGAACTACGCAGGAGCTCTACCGTCTACATTCGTATCATACCCAGGATCTGACAAGATGTTGAGACAATGTAGGCTTCCGAGTACAGTTCCAGTTTTTTCTCATCAATCCTCCACCACTTTGTAGCCCTCAGGGTTCTTTTCGACAAGTTTCGCCCATGTCGTCTCATCTCGGAAACCATCACGCACAGCCTTCCAATCGTCATCCGGTCTTGCGGAAGGCTTGCTGGTTTGTGGGTCGTTGTAATAGTCCTCCCAACGCTGCAAGAGACTCATTATCTCGGAAATGTCTTCCTCTATCCCTCTCCCCATGCGTCGTTTCCCTAGCTCTTCCGGTGGTGTGTACGCATACACTCTGTCCGGTTCATCACCCCATCTTTCTTTCATCACTTCGCTGATACCCCGGAAAAGATCTCGAGGAGTCTTCCCATTGTGGTCAGTCAGCGTTGGATTGGCGCCACACCTGAGGAGAATTTGAAACAACGTATGGGTTCTGACAGGTGACTCCGTAGTAGCCGGATTACACGCCCCGCGCAACGCTTCGGACGCGACTTCATGTTTAGCATAGGTGGCCAATAACATGAAGATCGTTATGTCTACGCCATAACGTGCGTAGGCCAAGTTCGGCGCGTCTACACGGCTTCCATGTTGTAACAGAAGCTCTATGCATTCGATTCTTTGTTCGTCCGGTTCATATGACATCGCATGTGACAATAGTGAGTCATGGTGGCGGTTCTTCACGTTGAGCATACGCTGCAACATTGCTGCATCCGTTTCTAAACTAATCAATCTCTCAAGATCTTTCGTTGAAGCCTTTGTCACTGCCTCTTCCGCCTCGGACCAGTCACGTCCACCACAGTGGATCAAGGCCTCTCTTATTTGACTTCTTAGTAAACTCGCGCGATCTTTCTCAACTTCCGCTTTGTCAGCATCATACTCAGGGTCGATGAACGACGGGCTTTCAGTTTCGTCGGTCTCTGATGGCGCTATTTCTGATCCATCGGCGCGGACTGCCATTTCATAAGTGATGATAGAGTCTAGATCCTCTGGCTCATACTCATATCCTTCGTGTAGAATATACTCCCACATGTTGCCTGTGCGATCAGGATCAAAATCCTGATCCGCTGCGAATGTTACCGATTGTCGAAGGATTATAGAGATGTCAACGTTCAGAGCAAAGAGAAGCTCCAGTGTTTCGTCATTATCAAGCGTAGAGGAGCCAATGACTCCATGAGTCAGACTGAGGGTGTAGTACCTTGATGACAGCATGTCTTGACGGTCGTCCAGGATCGTCTCTACCCAATACTCGTCTAACTCCGATTTCCAACCCAGTTCGAAGATTCTGCGGGCATTTGGATGCCTTCTTGATATGACTGCAGGATCTATCAGCCGGTAAGCAGATTTTGCTTTATGCTCGTTGATGGCAAAGCGTAGTAGTGAGAACTCGGCGGTCTGTGATTGGATACGTAGTGCTCTCCATTCAGGCCACAAGTGCTGCAAAATCTTCAAAACACCCACTTTTTCCCCGAGGATAGCGACTTGGAAAGCTCGACGCACAACGTCTTCTGTGTCCATGTGAGTTTGTGGAAGACGTTCCATGATCCAGCGTACGGCCTCGAGTGTGCCCGTATTACATGCAACTTCCAAAGGAGTTTCAGTGGCCGAATTCTTGAGAAGCAAGGGGTCGTCTTCGATCGAGTCCCGAGTGAAGTTGAAGCGTGTTTTGACTAGGATATCGGTGTTATTGTGGCGAGCAGCCAGATGAATGGGATAATCGCCATCATCATTGGGTTCATCCAAAGGAGCCCCTTGGTCTAGACAGTCGATGATGCCGTCGGGATCATTGTAGGTAAAGCCATCCATTAGCTCTTGCCACAGCTTCTTCCGCACTACAGGGTCGAGTTCCAGGGGCGGATTTAGTACCCTTTCAACCAAGCTTTCGTCTACCAAGAGATGGTCTGAGTAGTCCAGTCCCAGATGGAAAGGCCATCGCTGCATGATCCAAACCCAGGGTCTCCAGCTCTTCCTGATTGGCTGTTGGTATGCCTGGCTGATTGGTAGTCCACTGGGTGTGGCGGTCTGCGCACGTTCATCCACGCTCTCAGCAGTGAATAGCCTCCAGATGGCATATGCAACATGGCAAATGGCAACAATCGCTATGATGGCATTGGCACTTTGCCCCCACTCGCTTATCAAACTGTGCCAGGATTGTTCGATAGTATTTGTTCCACACAGGATGTTGACTATCGATAGTCCATGGAGCAGCACAAATGACCAATAGATCAGATAGTTTGTTGCTAAGGTGGCTGGTAGTGACCTCCAGAGAGCTGTGGCTTTAACGCGTGCGCTTCGTGTAGCATTGTTCTTGTTTTCGATCTTGTTCAGGCTCGATGTGAGACGGTAGGCTACTTCACATGGTAATACTGATACCGCGATGCGGAAAGCCAAGTAAATCCAGTATGCTGCCGAATAGTGCTGGGACGACGATTGGTGCGTTGTAGAGGACTGACACGGTATCTTGTCACGCCGGATGTATGTGCTGAAAGCTATAGCCTGCACAATAGACGCGGCAATCTGCGTCAAGAACCCAAAGCTAACCAGCTTCCGAGCAGCAAGCACGTCCTTATCCGAGAAGGCCATCGATACCGAAGCACTAACTGCATCAATGCTAGAGAGAGCAATGACAAGCTCCTGAGAGTTCAGTCCCTTCCTCCCCTTGGCAAGATTGATCGTGAGATAAAGCAAGTCTATGCCATGTTAAACCCAGAATAGCCTTCAAATTTCTTCGCAACTTACTTGCACACTGAGCCATGCAAAGTTCTTTCGCACCTGAAGTATGTGCTGTGAAATGACCTAAGATTAGTACCAGGAGGAGTACAAGACAAGGTAGAAAAAGGCCAAGCAGGACACCAATGCCCCCAACATCCGGATTGATTTCGTGGTTTTCTTGCAAACAGGCTTCAGATCTGCTGTTACCGAGTAACGGTACAACAACCAAGGCAATTGCAGCCAGTATCGAGCAGATGACTGGTCCCGCTTGGAGGAGCCGAGCACGCTTTCTCGATGTATCCTCTGCGACAATCCCGTTCTGTAGGCGTATCCTGTTCAAGTAGACAAGATGAACTGTGTAGGCAAGTGCAACCACGCTCGTGGTCACGAGGAAGGTATTCAGGAGGTCCATGTTCCGGTACGGTTGGGACGACAGAAGCTGATGAGATACGTCAGGGGGTGACTTCGCCTGCGGAAACCAGGTCTGAGATGCGGGAGGCCAGGAGGGCAGTCTTTTCAAGCATGTTCTAGGTTCGGGTCGAGAGTGCGGCTGAAGCTCGCGTTGGGCAGTTTCGCACTGCCCCAAATGTGACTGCATCTACGGCTGTGCCAGCGCATTGCGCCAATGGTGTCATTGGTGGCAAGAATCTGTGTTGCGTCTTACTGCATACACGTTGTTCAATGTTAACAAACAGGCAGTTCCTAAGACGATGTATACTTCTGACTGATCTTTCCTGTAGGATGCGAGACGGATTGTAGTCACCCTTGGTGGAGTCTGTAGAAGCTAACGGAAGCAATGCCCGCTCAAGGGTGGTACACGTGCCCGACGACACGCATGTGACATTGGAGCTGGGCTGAACGCTAACCTTTGATGACACTAGTGTGTGGAGCCGCATGCAGGCGTAGATATCGAAATGCTCGTTGTTCTAGACTGCAAAGGATCTAGCTATCTGGGCGTTCGCGCCTTGTTCTAGCAGCAGCAGATGTGTTTTCTTATGTCGTGAGTCTTGGGAGGGTGTAGGATTGGGACGTTGGGGTGCAGGAGACTACCTTAGTACTACTTCTCCAGCCACCGCTCAGATGACATCATGCCGGCACCGCCACGTTCAGCATAGTTTCAAGTCACTAACAGCGACCGTTATTCTAGGCGGTTCTTGAGATTGACATTCAGTTGCCGCGGAAGCCGTGAATTACGTGCAGCTTGCCTGGGCAGTGGTTATCTTATCTGGAGCAGGGTGAGACATTGGGCGCTAAAGTCATGGATCGCCGGGGAATGGACGTCTAACAGGGTCATCTGCAGCTTTGCTCCCACCCACTCGCACACTCCAGAGGGGCACGACGAGCGCGGTAATGCATCTTTGCCCTTGCCTAATAGCTGTCATTGTACGGCGGCAGAATCGTGACTTGTGCGGAGAGCCACGTAGTTTGAGCATTTGAGCTGTGACCACAGCAGCTCCCAAAACAAGGTTGAACTACAGATAGTCTGACAGCCTGCCCTTGCCCAACCTCACAGCTCCCTCGCACAGCGACACCACCATGGAAGATCGCACGCCCGCCGCGGGTAAAGCGAAGCCGTCGCCCGAGACGTCGCGCCGCAGCAGCACCTATGGCACCGGCAGCGACACGCCCACCCAGAGCGCGACGCCCAGCGACTCGGCGCGCCGACGGCCGCAAGCCGCCATGCAACCCTCTGGCTATGGTACGCGCATCATCTGGCGACCCGGGGAGGATACCATGATGCTAATTCCACTGCAGGCTCCATCACGTCCGGCATCGAGCGCCGCCAGCAGGCCGCCGCGACGGCGCACGAAAGCTCGACCAAGCCCAAGAAGCCGCCCATGAGCCGACGCGCTACGTCGTCCAAATGGCCGCAGAAGGGGCAGGAGTTCAGTGTCGACGACGCCGAAGAGGAGGTGGAGCTGGACCAGGCCCAGCAGGACCAGCAGAAGAAGCAGCGACAGACACTGCGCCGCAAGCCCTCGACCGTCCGCCGCCGCACCGCCGCGCCCCCGCCCAACCTAGCCACCATCGACTCGACCGAAGACGACGAGGTCGAGCAGGAGAACGCCGGCCCTCCGACCGGCGGCGATGCAGATGTGACGCCCTCGTCCAGCGAGGAGACGGTACAAGCTGAGGAGGAGGAGAGCGGAGGCGGCGATGAAGATGACGACCTGAGCGACGCCGAGAGCTTCACGCTGCGCGACCGCCAGGATGCCATCAACGTCACACATCCCTTCGGTATCAGGATCTGGAAGCCTGCGCTTTACAAGAAGGGTCGTTCGGTCCAGCGCAACGCTGAAGAAGACATCCACTCGTCACCCGGCCTCTACGTCAGCCGATGGCTGCTTCTCTTCAATATCGCCTGGACCCTCGTATTCGGATGGTGGCTAGCTGCTGTTGCGACTGTGGGCGGTCTGCTCTGCGCGCTCCTGGGCTTCAACGAGAGCTGCAAGGAGTACTCGCATTTGCTTTTCGCCCTAGCCGGCTACCTCTTCTACCCCTTCGGCAAATACGTCAAGCTCATGCAGGATGAGGCCTACATAGAAGAGGACGAGGGCGAGGGCCGCAGCATCAGCGAGTACGAGCAATGGCAGAGCGGCGACATCGAAGAAGGACGTCTGTTCTTCGGCCCAACAACTGGCACAAGCTCCTTGATCGGCCGCAGACGCAACAGCGTAGATTCCACAGGTGGAGAGACGACAAGCCTCCTCGGTCGAGATGGACGTGCCAATGTCAACCACACCGACACGGCCAACACTAAGAGGAGGCTTTTTGGCCGCGGCAAGTGGAATCTTGGCCGTGTCGTCTTTTTCCTGTTCTTCTACGGCTTCCTCACACCCTCGTTGTTCCTCGTCTCGGCTCTGTGCTGGTTCCTCGTCTTCACTATACCTATGGGGAAGACTACCCTGCTGTTGTTCGATCATCTGCGGCGTCATCCTCTGGCGCTCTCGTTCCATTCTGACAACGGCAACGTGCGCCGCCCCGGAGAGTCGTCATCGATCCTGCTCTGTACCTACCGCGCAGTCGGTATCAAGTACTGGAAGTACACCATTGACGGAACCAACATCTTCCTCATCAACCTCCTTGGCTTGGTCGCCTTCACCATCTTCGACTACTTCGTCTTGGCTGAGGCCTTGGAGATGAAGTTCTGGCTGACGGATCAGTTCCTGTTGTTCTCCCTAGCACTGTTGTCAATCATTCCGTTGGCATACTTCATTGGTCAGGCCGTGGCGTCCATCTCAGCTCAGTCCTCGATGGGCGTTGGTGCTACTATCAACGCTTTCTTCTCCACTGTTGTCGAAGTGTTCCTGTACTGCGTGGCCCTCAAACAAGGCAAAGCTCAACTTGTCGAAGGTAGTATCATCGGCAGTATCTTCGCAGGTATCTTGTTCTTACCAGGATTGTCCATGTGCTTTGGTGCTCTCAAGCGTAAGACTCAGCGTTTCAACGTACGATCCGCTGGTGTCACTTCAACTATGCTACTATTCGCCGTTATTGGCGCTTTCGGTCCGACATTGTTCTACCAGATCTATGGAAGCGTGAGTATAGCCCCATTCCACGTCGATCCTGTGCTAACCAAAACCAGCACGAACTCAACTGCCACCAATGCGTGCACTCGAATCACCACGTTCCCCTTGAGCGAGACTGCCGTAGATGTTACTACTCACAAACACCAGCACTCAATGATCGCTTCTACAACGAAGCTGTAAAGCCTTACACCTGGTTTGCGGCTACTCTGCTGTTCTTCTCCTACATCATCGGTCTTCTGTTTACCCTTCGTACTCATGCAGCGACAATCTGGACGGAGCCAGATGCTCAAGAGAAGAAGATACTCGAGATGAGCGCCAGCAGTCTCAGTCAAAGCGGCCACATGGACTTTCCACATGCGTCTTTCGTCAGGCAAGCGACAGGAAATTCCATATCTCGTGCGCACATACGCGACAGCCAGCTGTACAAGCGTATGGTTAGCCAGACTTTGCAAGAAGTTGGTCTTGGACCTGAACACCATGCATCAGACACCGGTCGGCCTGGATCCAAATCGGATAGCAACACACCGCACATGGTACCGCCAAAAGAGAGCGACGCTGTCTCGCACCACTCTTTCCACGTTGAGGGGCTTACAGATGATGCTGCAGAGTCACTTGCGCGACAAATCACTGAGATCGCGGCAACGACGACCGCTTTGGCGACGCGTGACGTTACCAGGGCTCCTCGCAAAGCAGCTCAAATGGCCCATACATCAAACAAAGCGCACGCAGAACGCCCTGTTCACACACGAACAAACACAGAGGCTGCGCCCGAGGAGCTTGATACAGCGACTGGACATGCTTCTGGCGGACACGATGCGCCGAACTGGAGCCGTCAAAAGAGTGCTGCTATCCTGCTGACTGCGACCGTCGCATATGCCATCATCGCAGAGATCCTCGTCAATACCGTTGATGGTGTTCTCGAGGGCTCTGACATTGACGAGAAGTTCTTGGGTATCACGCTCTTCGCACTGGTTCCCAACACGACTGAGTTCCTCAACGCCATCTCGTTTGCCATGAACGGCAACATTGCTCTTTCTATGGAGATTGGTTCTGCATACGCTCTCCAAGTGTGTCTTCTCCAGATTCCGGCTTTGGTATTCTACAGTGCCATTCATACTGGGTACATTCCCGCTCAGGACGTTGCCAGCCAGACGTTCACGCTCATCTTCCCGCAATGGGACATGGTTACCGTCATCCTCTGCGTCTTTCTCTTGTCGTACATGTACGGCGAGGGTAAGAGCAATTACTTCAAGGGCTCTATTCTTATCTTGTCGTATCTTGTCGTCATTGCCGGCTTTTACCTCTCCGGATTCAACGATTTCCAGAAGATGGGCGTCGATCCGATGGACACGCTGGCGCTTGGGGGTTTGGTCGAGCAGCAGGTGCAGTCTATGACATTCAAGACACCTGGAAGAGGTCGCAGTGGTGTGGCGTACTGAAAAGCTTTATTGTGATATTGAGGTATGGAGGGGGATGTTAAGAAGAATGTTAATGAGTATTTGCAATGGGCAGGTTTCTGCACAAAAGGTACATAGCGCAGGCGTTTGAGGAAAACTTTATATTGGGAATAATTAGTTATGAAACGCACAAATAGTGGCACGACTGCCACGTAATCGGACATGAAGATGCTCTGTTGATCTGTGAAGTATAAACCATATTGGGCTGCACGCAAGTCGAGCGGTGATCGATGATTAGCCCATGCAGCGTGCAATGTTCTTTCGGTGCGGCACCAGAGAAAGTATATGCATGAGCTCCTAACTCGGACTGCTGACAGAAACTTGATCAGGATCTGTTTGAACATCGTGTTTCGCATAGTCGTCTACGTGAAGCCTATAGATCAAAGACACATGAAGTCGGACCGTAAAAGCTGCTCAGCCATGCAAGTGACGACGGCTTCACAGCATCCTGCGATGGGCGTGCAAAGTCGAGATGCGCGGAGTGAGGCGGGTATATCTTACAGGTCACGATGCGACGAAGTCCGCAAGTCGCAGCGCATGGAGTGGGTCCCCCGGGCGATCCAACGTGGGAGGATTGGAGAGGAGGGTGCGCGCACATGGTGCGGCAGTCTCGGAGTGGCAGATTACAGTGGGTCGCCGGCGTCAGCGGGCGTGTGAAGATCAATCGATACGCCATGGCCGTCCGCGCCTCTCCGTCGAGGCTTCAATCGACCCTCGCCGCCCCGTCTATTTCTATGTCGCGGTTTGGTGTTCGCGCGCGATATGGTAGTGCGCAGTCGCGGGATTTGCTTTGTCGTATACTCGCTTTGAACCACCTGGGCTTGGGACGCGCGACAGCTGAAGCCACACCCCGCGCTCGAGATCTTCTCTCCATGAGGCGTCGGGCCTGGTGTGCTGGTCATCGATAAGGCCGACGGTCAGCCGTTCGCTGCTGAGCGAGCGATATTGCTACCCAGTGTTGCATCATACACAGCATAGACCCTGAGATGCTGCTCGTGCGACCGCGCCGCCTGCCGTCGCGATTGGCGTGGCTCTTGTTCGCGACCGTCGCCACGGCCACGATATCCTCGTCTAACACGTCTACCGCGCGTACAAATCTTTACGACGGCACTCTGCCGCTCACTAACGCTCAGGGCGACGACGGGACCAGGATAGCCGACCTGATCCCATTGACTAAGGATGCCGCCAACTCAGTTCGTCAAACACTATTCGTCGCATAGCCTTCATGCACTGACAAAGCACTAGGTCCAGGGCAATCTGTACAATACAAACTACACCAGCGTCGTCGGCATCTCCAATGACGAAATCGCATACATCAGCTGCGATACCACCGACTACAACGGCTACGAATCTGCGCAGGGCGTCTTCGAACAGACCTACTTGCAAGGCAACATCTCGGCAGTGATACTGTATAGCAGGACGTCAGACTACTGCAACTACACTCAGGACAGGACACAGGTCATGATGGACGAGTTCGCCATATACTCGATGACGAACAGAGCGGACTCAGCAAAGGTGCGCAACGACATCATCGACATGCCGGCAGCCATGAAATACTTCGTTCAAGTCAAGGCACGGGATGAGGGAAACAACGACTCCGGCAACAACGGCCAGTACGGTCAGCAGAATCCCTTGGGACCTTCGCCTTCGACCGCCGTCGCCATGATCATTCTGTACAGTATTACCGGCATCATCACGGCATTGTTCCTCGTCATTATCATCACCGGCGCCGTTCGCGCGCATCGCCACCCCGAGCGATACGGCCCTCGAAACGTACTCGGACGACCAAGGCAAAGTAGGGCAAGAGGACTGGGACGAGCTATCCTGGATACCATACCCATCGTCAAGTTTGGCGAAAAAGAGCCGGCCAAACCTGCCGATGTTGAACTGGGCTCGACAGCAGAAACACGGGATGTGAGTGGCGTGAACACGGACGCGGAAGCGCAAGCGAGCTCAGGCACGGCTGCGACCCAGCACGACACGGCTCCGGCTTCTGTGCCTGGTGCGACTGAGACAGCACAGGTCGTAACATCAGACCCCGCGGAAGAGCAACAATCCGGCATCGCGCCGGCACAGCCTGTTGCTGCAGGTGCGACAACGGGTACCGACAATGCTTCACCGGACGAAGGCCTAGGATGCTCGATCTGTACCGAAGACTTCGAGAAGGGTCAAGATCTCCGTGTTCTTCCATGCGACCACAAGTTCCATCCAGAATGCGTGGACCCATGGTTACTAAACGTGTCCGGCACATGTCCATTGTGGTATGTTAATCCTCGACGTCACACACAGATATTGTACTAATCTCTACTAGCCGGGTCGACCTCCGCCCAGTCAACTCGCGCGATTCAACGGGATCGCAAGAAGATGAGCTCGCTCCCCCTCTCAACCCCGAAGGCGACACTTCCCATCGCCGCCGTACCGCGCTCTTCGACATACTGTCGCTCCGTCAACGGCCGAACGCCTCGCCCGAAGAGCGCATCTCTGCTCTACGACGACTAAGAGAACAACGGAGGAACCAAAGCGGTGATGTCGCAAGTGGCAGTGCAAACGCGAGCGCCGAGGATGTCGACGGCGCGCGCGATAGGAGGAATAGGCGTATCAGTGCCCGACTGAGCGATGTCTTCTCTGGTCGTTCGAGGAGGGAAAGGGCTGATGAGAGTTCAGCACAACAAAGTGGGCCAAGTAGGAATGAAGCGGAAGCTGCTCCTGGCGCGAGTGGGCCTACAGCTTGAGCGGAGGATGTGGATTGTATACGAAAATGATGATAGTTGTACAGAGTATCTGTATTGGCGTTTAGGATCTCGCTTTCCCAGGTCAGGGGTTTATGGGTTGCGCATCGTACGGCGTTGCGGGATACCAGGTTGTCTTGGGTAGCATGCATTCGCTATGCTCCAGGATGCTAAATGCTATTTGTTGTACTACCCATTCTACTTGTTGCGGCCCGGTGCTTCTGTCTTCGTGATGCGTATCCTCACTTAGTTTATCTGGAACGTGTCTTAAGCGACCGTCGTTGATAGCTGAACTCATATCAGGGGGTGGTGCGTAAAAATGAAGGACGCAACCCTCTTAGTACTACGGTGGTTTCTTAGCTGTTGCTGCCAGGCTTTAGTGATGATCAGAAAGCAGATCAGACAGTGAAGTTACACATCCCAAGCCTTAGACGTCCACAGTCACTCCACTTCTTCACGGCCAGGCTCTTCACAACCCCCTCTTTGGTTCATGGACAATTAGCCTACTGCATATCGTCCAATCCAATCCTATCGACGGATGCAAGCCAATGCATGACATGCCGGGGAGTGAATCCTTCTTGGATTGCCAAGTGCCAACATGATCGCGATCAGCACACATGACGCGGTTCCAATGTCGATGTGGCTGCCCAGGTGTTCACCGGTTCTGACATGCTTATCTGCAGCACAACTGCAATACTGAGCGACGACATTTCTCTCAACTGCGCACATCGAAACTTCGTCAGCTTCGCGAAATCAGACAATGGCTGCACATACTCCCTCAGAGCCGACTTCGCCAGAGCCAGCTCCGTCCGATCCACCACCAAACCAACCCCACACCTTCGATCGCAACACACCCGACCAACAAGAAATCACCACCATCCTTGCCAAATTCAACAAGGATCCTCTTGAACTGAGCGTCATCTCCCTGGGCAAAGATGGAGTCCTGCGAAATCTATCGGCGGATCGTGCAGTCCTTGATGCTGTCGGATTGAGCCCGCGGCTGGTGAAAGCGTTCTTGGACCGCGTCCCTCCAGACTACCGCGCGCTCACGCCAGAACTCGAAGATGTCGATGGGTCGAAGGCTACGTATGAGGAGATGTGGCACCCGGGTCCAGGGCTACTGCCGCGACCTATGGGCGAGGAACAGAAGAAGCGGGCGTTGGCGAGTTTGGAAACCAATTAGCGACAGGAGTTTCAAATTAGCGATAGCACTTGAACAGATGCTAACAACATGTATCTTGGCCGAACCTCTTTGATACTACAAGCTGTAGAGTGCAACTGCCCATACCTAATGAATCCAAATGTATCTCCCACGGTATACGGTGGTTGTTTACATGCAGTTTGCACCACTCGATCTTTGCTACGTATCCTAGGCCAACAAACCTTGCTTAGACATATTGTTGTAGCATCGGTAATTCTCGAACGCGCAGGACTTGTTGCCGTGCTGACGGCCTAATTGGTTGGGTAAGCTCCAGTTTGGAAGCGTCGTTCAGCCTCTCTAGGCAACAGCACTACATAAGTACACGCAGAAAGTTCCGCACACCGAAATATACAGTCTACATTCAAGACTTGCGATCTCCAGTTCATTCTGATCGCCAGGGTCACACTTGCGATTTGCATGTTCTACCTAGGTACCTAGGTAGGTATAAGCATGCCTTGGAAATAGCGAGACTTCATGAGATAGAGTGGGTGGCAAAGGTTGAGAGCTATTTGGGCGTAATGGTTAGATACGAGGCAGCGACACGTCGTGTGTGTAACACCAGGTAGCTAAGCGACTAATCAATGATCGCGCAGCCAACGTAAGCACGATAACATCTATGCATGCCCAGTAACTCATGGTCAGAGCTGGCTCTACCATATATGCTTTCACACAAATCTGCACTAAGCTTTCAGAGCGGCCGCCTCTGGATAGGTACTCATAACACACAGCGACATTTTATCACCTGGGCGCCCTCTCGTGGTGGCGGTTCCAGCGTACATAGGTCCCATCTGCGCGAGTCTACTTACCACTACAGTTACAGACACAAGCCCAATCGCGTGGCTGCTCTCACCCAAAGGTTTAATTTACTCGAAACCCTGGGCTGATATAACAGATGAGGCTCAGGATGGCTGCAGGCTTTGCAGGATCCTGAAGGATTTCATAGATCAGGCAGATGAAAAGTCACGAGCTCGACGTAATCGACTTCAGGGCGCCGCCGCTATTGTCTCAAATACGCCAGAGGAAGAAAGAGCAGTTCGCTTCGTGCTACGTCTATCAGGAAAACATTTGATGATCAACACCCCGGACGATGTTTTTGCGGGCACTTTACAGTACCGAGCGACAACGAATTTTGGTACAGTCACAGCCTAGACGCCTTGTCGCAGCTGATAAAGTCATTATAGGTGATCTTGCGGCGAAGTATCTGCCACAGGCAACTACCAAGTTGAATCGAGGGGACCCAGTGACCTTCGGTACGATTCGTTCGTGGATCGTGGAGTGCGACCATCGGCATGACGATTGCGCGAGCCTCCAATCCAGTCTTCCTGCAAGGTTGATAAATCTCTCCAACATTTCGGCCGAGGAACGAGACCTTCGACTATACATCCCCAAACATGGGGAAATGGGACGTTATGCAGCACTGAGCTACTGTTGGGGCTATTCACAACCAGTCACTACAAGCGAAAAGAGCCTGTTGCGACACTTGCGCAAGATCCCGTACGACAACCTTCCGCAAACGCTGCAAGATGCAGTCAGAGTTACCAAAGCTATGGGTTTGCAGTTTCTCTGGGTCGATGCCTTGTGTATCGTACAGGATTCGGAGAGCGACAAGCGAACGGAGATAGCGAAGATGGCCGAGATTTACCAGAATGCATGTTTCACCATAGTGGCCGCTTGCTCAACGAGTTCGGCTGAAGGCTTTCTTCAGGTGCGGGATGGTCTGCCGCCAGCCCTGGAGATACCAGTGGGTTGTGGGAACGGTAACGTCGGCAGCATTGCTCTGCTGCCAACATACGAGGGCCCCAGGCATGAACCTCTACATGACAGAGCCTGGACTTTGCAAGAGATCATCCTCTCACAACGCCTTTTGATCTTTGGCAAGAACTCCGTTGGATGGAAGTGCGAGCAAATGGATCGTGGTATACATGGCTGGACGGACTGGAACGGTTACTGTGCATCTACAGGCTTGACGACCATTCGCTTCGCACCAGGCGGCAAAATAGTACGTCCATCGCTGAGCTTTTACTCAGCCAACATCAGCTCTTTCAACAACCCTTCATCGTTGGCTGAGACACAGCCGTACATTTTTCGACTTTGGAGAGATGTTGTCAAAGACTATTCGACTCGCTCGATGACAAACGAAGGAGACAAACTCAGCGCCATAGCAGGAATGGTGGCGTACTTTCAAGAAGTTATAAAGGACACGTACTATACCGCTAAACCTAGGTTGCGCAATAGCAATCTGTAAGGCAGATAGAATAGCAACGTTATTTAATATTAAATTATAAAGTATAATACATTTTAAGAATTATAAAGCTTATCTATTACTATAATATTAAAAATATATATTATTTAGTATATATATTAGAGTACTATTAGATATTAAAGTATAATAGTATATTAGGTAAATGTTAATATTAGATAGCTATTAAGTATATATTAAATAACAAAATACATTTAACGCTTAACTTACTATATAATATTAACTACTAATATAAAAATATAATAAGTAGGTCTTATAGATTAATAGGTGTATAGTATATATTATTCTATAATATATAGCTATTATCTATATAGTACACTAATAGTAATTAAAGTTATAATACTATTTTATTATTATAATAAGAGCTAATAAATTTTAAAGTCTAATTTAATTTATTATATTATATACGTATTCTAGATAGCTACTTTTAGACTTATTCTACTTAGAGATCTAGCCTATTTATAGACGCGTATACTTACTAGCTTTTTTTTACTCTTATAACTATAATAAGAATAGTAATACTTCTATTATACTACTTTTTCTATATTCTAAAAGTTATAAAAAGCTTTACTTACGCTACTTTAGCTTTAGACTATACTTACTACTATAAACTAGCGTATTCTTATTATAATACTATTTAACTTTTTATATTATATTACTTTTATAATATTATATAATAATACGCTAGTACTACTATATTATACTATATAATTCTAAGTTTAGATAATCTCTACTTAAAGACGTATAAGTCTATATTTACTTTTCTATTATATATAAAGTAATATTATAGTATACTTAGTACTAAACGTGTTATTAGAATTACTAATTCTATAGTAAGATTATAGTTATGTCTTTAGTCTTTATAAAGCCTATTATATATATATAAGTAAAGATTATAGTAAAGAATTATAAGTAGTAAACTATATAAGAATAGTAACTTAGTGTTAATATTAAGTATACGCTTTACTTTATTTCTATTATTAGAGCTAAAAGATATTATTATACTAACTAAAGATAAAGAGCTTAGTATACTATAGTAAATACAAAACTAGTCTATTTAAATATATTTTTAGTATAATTAAGCTAGCGTGCTTAAGATATATTAGTATTATATAGTAGATTAGTTAATTTAAAATAAGTCTTCTAGATAAAAAGAGATTAGAGTAGTATTTTATAGTACTAATATTAACGCGTATAAATCTAGTATAGAACTATTAAAGCTTTAGTTTAGTTAGCTATATTTATTATTTTACTATTTTACTTTTACTTACTTTACTTATATTTAAATAGTTACTAATAGCTACTATAGTAGCTAATTATAATAATACTATACTTTACTAAAACGCGTATAGTTACTATAGTAAATATCTACTATAGTAGAGCTTCTAGATTACTTATTAGTATAGCTTACTATTACTATTACTATTATTATAATACTTTTTTATCTCTTTTCTTACTATTCTTATAGCTATTAAAACGTTTATACTATAGTTATACTCTATTAGCTAGAAATATTACTTACTATCTAATTATTAGATAACTCTATATATATTACTATAGCGTTTATAAACTATACTTACTTTTACTTTTATTACGCCTAGGTAATAGCTAATAATATAAGTATAGACTCTAAAGCGCTATAAATCTCTACTTACTATCTACTTACCTCTATTTCTTTTACTTTTATATCTACTTTTACTACTAATAATAATAATAATAATAATAATATACTTAATTATTAGATATCTAGAAAAGTTATAGCTATCTAAAGAAGAAAAAGTTACTTACTTCTAAGGTTAAAGAGAATCTAAAGAATAAAACTATTAAGATCTATAAGTTCTTACTCTTAATAATACTACGTATATATACTAATAATATTTAGCTTTAGTAGCCTAGCTAAGTACACACTAATAGTTTATTATTAACTACTAAATATAAGTTATAACTATAAAGTAGTAGATACTTAGAAATAATATTCTTGCGTTATAGTAACTATAGCGCTTAATTATTATTTATCTAATATATTATAGTTACTTTAGTAGCTAAGGCTACTACTAATAAGAAGTAGTATAATATTTTATCTACTATACGTAGGTAAGTAATAGTAATAATTTAGTAAACCTTTCTAACTTTCTATAAAGCTATAATACTTTATAAGTAAAAGGCTAAAACTAATAAAAATAGTAATAACGCTAAAGTTACTTCTAAGAAGGCTATAATACTTTATAAGTAAAAGGCATAGCTTATATAAGCTTAATTACTTAATTATTATATATTTATATAAGTTATAATTACTTTAGCTAGAGCTACTACTAATAAGAAGTAGTATCTAGCTAGCGTAATAAGAAGTAGTATAATATTCTACTATATATAGATAAGTAATAGTAATAACTTAATAAACTTTACTAACTTTTTATAGTTTACTACTACTAAGAAGATAGCTACTTTTTATAAGCGTAAGGCTAAGACTAATAAGAATAATAATAATACTAAGGTTACTTCTAAGAAGAGTCTCTCTTTTTTAGCTCTATTCTTAATTAATATATCTAGTAAACTACTTTAACCTTAATAAGTATAGTCTACTACTAGTGTAGCTATAAAGCCTATTAGTCTACTAGCTAAGAAAGTAAAGGTTTAAGATATATAGATTTATTAATACCTTAATCTTACTTATTAAGTATAATTATTCTTTTCTTTTTTATTAGTATAATATCTAATTAAT